TGCTGGTGCAGCCACAGCTTCCGCGCCGGAAGATCGCGCACGGTTTCGAGCCCCAAGTACTTCTCGACCGGGCTGATCTCGCGCAGATCAAAGGCGGCCTCTAGCAGCTCCTTCAGCTCCTTCAGCATCGCGGTGCTGCTTCTGGCGGCAAGCAGGTCGTCGACGTAGACGAGCACCCAGCACGCCACTCTGTCGTCGCCAACTCTGAAATAGAGGGCCTCGTCGACCTGGCTCTTACTCCAACCAGCACCAGTCAGCACAGCGTCGAGCGCAGAGTACCACAACAGGGGGCTTTGCTTCAGCCCATAGAGGCTCTTCAACAGCTTGCAGACGCGGCCAGTTCCGTCGTTGTAGTAAGTCGGCTGGTCCATGTAGAGCACGCGGTCAAGCTTGCTCTGCAAGAAGGCATTCTTCATGTCTAACTGCATGAGGTGCAGGTCAAGGACGGCGACGATGCTCAGGAAATCCGCAGCGTGACGTGGCTTCCGACCAACGCATACGTCTCGTCGTAGTCGGCTTCGTAGACCTGCGTGAAGCCCTTCACCACCAGGCGCGCCTTTTCGCGGGCAACCGTGTCGTCGACATGGTACTTTGTCGTCACAACCCAGCGGTTCTTCATGACATTGAGGCTCTCCACCAGCTCCCATGTGCCGCTGGAGAAGAGACTTCGAATTTCCTCGTCCATCGCCGCTTTCACCACCTTGCCTTCCAGCTCGCTAACGCCTCCTTCACTGTCATGTTAGCGATGTCCCAGCGGTGCTCTAGGTCGGCGTGAATATCGGGGTCGAGCTCGGGCACACCAACATCGAAATGCGCATCGTCGAGCAGAGTGCTGTAGGAGATCAGCGGGAGGCACACATGGTGGCTCAGCCTCTCGGGAGGCTTGCCAAAGTTGGAGCGGGTGGAACATCGAACTGCAGGCTTGTCGGCAGAGACTTCCACCATGTCGCTGTCGCTGGACTGCTCTCCGGTTGACAGCTCCCCATCAGCGCCACCGATGGCTTCAACAACATTGTCCGATGTGCCATCGTCGAACTGCTGCCTCGTCGTCCGCTCCTCTGAAGCGTGCTCCTTGTTCGACGGCTCCTCTGAATCGCGCTTCTCGTTCGACGGCTCCCCTGTCGACGGCTTCTCTGAAACGCGCTTCTCGTTCGACGGCTCCCCTGTCGGCGGAGACCCCTCTCCAACGCAGACTTGTTTGCCGATCAGATTACGTCGACCGCCAGCGATGCCGACGGGCGGATCCGAATGCAACGCACCAATGCTCCCCTCATCGCTGGCGGCCGACGTCGATGCCGCCTTAAGCAGATTGGCAGCGAGCGATGGGGGGGAGGCGGGAAGAGGAGGAGGAGGAGGTTTTGACTAGGGTGGAATGGAGGGAGAAGGATCTTTAGAAGGACCATCGTCCTCGGATTCGAGCAACGAAATCGCCGCTGGCGACGGACCCGTCGGTGGAGAAATCTGCGTCCGCTCTAACACGGGCCCGTGCTCCACCTTCCACTCCTCCAGAGACATCACCACATAGAAGATTGCCTCCACGGTTGTGACAATGCGGTTGGCGGTGAGGTCTGGCACCTCCCATCCCTTGCTCTCTGGCGAAACACCAAGGTGAATTCCCCAGCGTGCCTTCGGTGCCAACTTTCCGCCGCACTGCTGCTCCGGGATCATGAATTGCACCATACAGCCCCACACGCGCGTCAGCGTGAGATCCGGCTTCTTCTCGAACAGCAGCTCGTACGGCGTCGTCCTCGGAGGAAGTGAAGCCCGTTCGAGGCAGTTGCGCACCCAGACGGCGTGGCGAAAGGCGAGGTGCCACAAGTGATGCTTCACCCCCATATGAAGCAGCATCGTCCGCACATATTCGATGACCGTGCGCATCTCCCGCTCCGCCATGCCATTCTGCTGCGGAGTATAGGGGGAGGTGAGGTTGTGGAGGATACCATTGTCCTCGAGCAGGTCGGTGAATGCCCTACCGAGGAACTCCCCTCCGCGGTCAGAGCGCAGCCATTTCACCGACTTAGACGTCTGACGCTCCACCTCCTTCAACCTCTTCTCGAACACTCCAAGCACGTCGCTCTTTTTCGCGATCGGATGGACCCACACAAAGCGAGTCTTGCGGTCCTTGATGAAGGGGCCACGCGAAAGGGGCCGCAGAGGTCAATGTGCACGACTTCGAGCGCTGTTTCAGCGTCCGATCCCTTCTCCGGAAAAAAGAGGAGAAAAAAGCGGCTCCCATCCATGGCGGCCACACGAAAGGGGCCGCAGAGGTCAATGTGCACGACTTTGAGCGCGGTTTCAGCGTCCGATCCCTTCTCCGGAAAAGTATGACGCGCCAGCTTGCCGCCGACATAGGAGGTACACAGCACATCAGCTCCAGTTGACTTCTCGATGTCCAGGCCGATGGCAACTTCATGTTTCGCCAAACTCATAGTTGTGTCAATGCCGACATGCACAAGCCTTGCGTGCCACTTAACCGGCTTGGACTGCGTCGCCGATACGATCGTCCGCAGAGCAACTGCTTTTGCTGAAGATGTAGTCGATTTCGAGGAGCAGGGGCGGAGGTCGGTGCAGAGGACTCGGCCGGTGTAGCGTGCTCGACCGAGCACATCTCTTGCAGCGAAAACGAGCAGCATCTCGTCACCCTCGTTCTGCAGCTTCACGCAGTTTTCCTTCAGCTGACCAGTAGGTTCGCGTGCACGCCCGGAACGTACAACACGTCGGGAATGAGAATCGGCTTCCCGATCTCCCCTATTAGAGCAACTGTGCTATGGCCTTTGACGTTCTGAAGCGCCCCGTTGAACCCACGCACGTGACGGATTTCTCGTCCTGGCTTCATTTCGACGAAGGCCTCTCGCATTCCCATCAGGTGATGGGAGCAGCCACTATCGAGGAGAACCATAGTTGGATTCGCGTGCACAGCTGTTGCGACCGCCTGGAAGTTAGCTCCAGCCTCTCGCGCCAGCGAAATATTTGGCTTAACCACGCCAATCATCGACCAAAAGGCTTCCGTTCCGCTCGTGGTACCAGCCTCTGATGTCGACGACGATTTCGACGACGCATGCTTCTCCTTCCGCGGCTTGTCTCGACGCCGACGATCGTCGTCAGACTTCTCGTCCTCTGATCGATCGGCTTTTCGCGGCGTCCTCTCTGATCGTCGTCGGACTCGTTGCGGTCAGGGAAGTCATACGAGAGATGATCAGGGTCTCCGCAAATGTAGCAGCGTCGTCCTCCTCAACGCGAACCACTTCTTCCGCGATCATTGCCCTTCTCAGACTTCCCGCGATCAGCGCTCTCCGTAGACTTGGTTTTGGATGACTTTCCGCCACCGCCTCCACCTCCGCCCAACTTCCCACGCTGCCCCGTCTGACGTCCCTGCTTCGTCGGAGCGACGTAGTTGGCCTGCGGAAGGAGCTCTGAAGACCGCTCAGACTCCTGCATGAACTCATCGTGGATGATGTGACTCGAAAGCGAATCCTTGTTCAGAGTCTCGCGCGCGCCGGGCATGATCAGCATCCGTCGCATCATACTGTAGCTCGAGGGGAGGCCATTGATGACATGTGTGACATACGACGTCACCGAGTACTCGAAGATAGCCATCCACATATCGGCCAAAATTCGCCGCGCTCAATTGCAGTACTCGGTCGCCGATTCCTGCTCGCTCATGCGAATGTTGGCCAATCTCTTCTCCAGTTGGCTGATGTAGAGGTCGTCGGTCGCTTTGTAGGTGCGCATGACGTACTGCCACGCTTAGTAGCCAGCGTCCACTCGAAGTCGGCACGGCTTCAGCGCGAATTGCACCAGCGGCGAACATCACCTCGAAATGACCATGAAGGTCAGAAGGTGAGCAGCGCGAAATTCCGCCAACAGTTCAGAGTCGTCTTCGTCCGGCATCTCCACCTTGCCGTCAACGAACTTCTTCAATCCGGTGATCTCCAGCTGGGATTCGATTGACTCAATCCATGTGAACAAGTTATGTCGTCCTTCGAGCGGCTTCGGCACAGCGATCTTGTCCGGCGAAAATTTGATGTAGCCGTACGCCGGAGCGATGCCTCCGTCTCGACCAGCCGACGCATGAGTCGCCGAAGTCGGCCTGGCTCCACTCCGCTGAGGAGAAAGGCGTCGACCATCAATATTGCCGTTCGAGCTTCCAGCTGCTGCCGTTGACCGCAGCACTTGCGCTTGCACTCAACCGACGCCGACGTCAGCGGCCCGAATGTCAAACATTATATGTGTTACTGTCTGGTAGGCTACATTGGGTTTAGCCTTAGGGGGTACAATATTCTAGGTTTTCCTACTTGTACTTCCAATCTTGATAGTCCAACCACTTCTCTCATTCTAACATGGTACTACGAGCCTAGGTTAGGAACCTAGGACCGAACGTTCCTAAGGGCCCACCGTTCCGCTAGTAGCGCCCTCGTGCGCCCTCTCTTAATCGCGCCCTCGTGCGCCTCGCTCCTAGTGCGCCCTCGAGCGCCCCGTTTTTTAGGTCGCGTAGCCCGCTAACCGCCTGCGCGCGGCCCGTTTTTTGCCCGCGCAGCCCGCTAGCCGCCCGCGCCCGGCCCGTTTCTAGTGCGCGCGACCCCGTAGCCGCCCACGCCGTCGACGCCGTCCATGCGTAGCCCACCCTGGCCTCGCGCGGCCCCTAGAGCAGCTTGCGAGCTGCCCGTCGACCGGCGCGCGCCGCCACCTTGCCCAAGCAGGCCGCCGCCCGTACGTAGGCCGCCGCCCACGCATAGGCCGCCGCCCACGCGTAGGCCGCCACCCGTGCCTAGGCCGCCGCCAGCACGTAGGCCGCCGCCTCGAACCGCGCGCCGGCCCACCCTCTCTCCCCGAGCCGCGCCGCGCCGTCCTGCCCGAGCCGCGCCGTCCTGCCCGAGTCGCGCCGCCCTGACCGAGCCGCACTGCCCTACTGTGTACCACCTGCAGCACCTGCTGCTCCTGCTACTGCTACTGCTACTCCTCCTACTGCTACTACTGTTCTTACTGCTGCTACTGCCACTATGGTCAGTCCTACCGTTCTCACTTTTGACGCTGAGGGCCGTCCGATCAAGTTTGACGTTTGGCTCGATGACCTGCACCTGTTCCTCCAGATCACTTCCAAGGATGATGTTTCCCTGTTTGACCACACGTCCGGTTAGCCCCCGCTCCTGCTGCTACTGCTGACAGTTCAGCTCGCTCACAGTGGCAGACCCGTGATGCTCACGCTCGCCTAGCCGTTCGCAGCCACCTGCCGTTAGATGAGCGCGAGCGCTTTGGCCAGCATAAGGCCGCTAAGGAGCTGTACGATGTTGTAGGCCGTCTCTCGCTGCCCTACCTCTTCCCCGATCTGTCTGCCTTTGCCACTGTAGCTGACCTCATCACTCACCTTCGTACTAGTGATCTCTGCTACCGTGCCGCGCTCCCCCCCGATTTCCTAGCCAAGAACCCTCCCCTGATGTACCTCACACTCTACCACCTAGTCACCCGCCTCCCTGACTCCCTTCGCACCGTCAGGGACCACTTTCTCGCCCTCTCCCCCACCGACCTCACTGTCGACCTGCTCGAGAAGGAACTCCTAGCAGCTGAGAAGTGCATTGTAGCTGTAGGTGCCTCTCGTGCCGACCCTCGCACTCCCTTCTTTGAGGGGTGCTCCCCCTCCCCCCTCCTCCCCTCCATTGCATCTGCTGCTGCCGTCGACTACCTCGGTGCTGAGGGGGTCGGGGCTGCGTCTGCTCCTAGTGGGAGGCGCAAGGGCGGCAGGGGCAAGGGGGGCAGGAGTGGCGGAGGTGGCGGCGGGGGCGGCGGTGGTGGAGGGGGTGGAAGGGGCGGGGGTGGTGGCGGTGGTGGGAGTGGCGCTGGTGGTGGGGGGGTCAGTGGTGGAGCAGGGGGTGGTGGCGGCGGAGGTGATGGGGGTGGTGGGGGTGGTGGTGGCAGTGGTGGCGGCAGTGGAGCTGGTGGCGGGCGCGGTGGAGCGGTGCAGCGTGGGGGGTTCGGCGGTGGCCAGAGGCAGCAGCAGCAGCGTCCTGGCGAGACTCCCTCGCCCCAGCAGCTCCGTGAGTGGTACTCTCAGCGTGGGGGCTCTGGGGGTGGAGGTACCTGCCCGTACGTCATCCGCACAGGTGACCGCACTGGCCAGACCTGTGGGAGGTTCCACACGGCGCAGCGCTGCTTCTTTCGTCTCGACGACGCCTGGCGCGAGCAGTTTCCTGAAGCCTCTAAGCTGCCCCGCTGGGCTGATCTGCTTAAAAAGAACATTGATATATTTGCTCTTGATTTTGATGCTATCCTTGGTGCCATGTATGCATTGACTAATAGTGTTGAGGGTGACTGTTACCTGGGTGTACCGCCCGACCCGGGTATTGGGACCAGTGAGACTGCTGCTCTAGGTGCTAGTGCGTCTGCTGCCCTAGGTCCTGGTGAGGCTGCTGCCCTAGGTGCTAGTGAGTCTGCTGCTCCAGGTGCTCGTGCGTTTGAGCTAGCTGGCACTGCGTCTACTGAGGCACTGCACACTTTCACACTGGACTCGGGTGCTTCCCGCTGTTTCTTCCGTGACCGCACTGTCCTTGAGCAGCTAGCTCGGCCAGTTGCTGTCTCCCTCGCTGACCCCTCTGGGGGCCCGGTCCTTGCGACCTCCTCAACTGTCCTCCCTTGTCCTGCGGTCCCGTCCGGCACCCTGTCGGGTCTTTACCTCCCCTCGTTCTCTACGAACTTGGTGGCGGGCTCTGCTCTCCAGGACGGGGGTGTGCACCAGTTCATCCCTGCCTATGAGCGTGTGACCCACTGTACGTGTGCTCGGACGGGTCGCCACCTAGCTACCTTCACTCGGCAGCCGGGGTCGGACATGTACTCACTGACCACTGAGTCCCCTCAGGTACATGAGTCTACGTCTGCGTCAGGTCAGCTGACGGCCCCCTGCTCGTATCGCTCCCTGTCGCACCAGACACTTCTCTGGCACCACCGTCTTGGTCACCCGTCAGTGTAGCGCCTTCGTGGCATACACTCCTGGTACCTTGTCTCTAGTCTTCCCAGGGTTCTCCCTCCCCTCCCACCCTCGCCTGCTCCTCCCTCTCTTCCCTGTGTCGAGGGGCGGCAGCGCGCCAACCCTCACTCCTCCTCGTTCCATCCCACTGAGGCTCCCCTGCAGACTCTCCACCTGGACGTGTGGGGCCCAGCCCGCGTCCGTGGACAGGGCCACGAGCGGTACTTCCTGCTGGTCGTCGACGACTACACGCGCTACACCACGGTCTTCCCCTTGCGCACCAAGGGTGAGGTCCCTGATGTTTTGATCCCTTGGATCCGCGCTGCTCGTCTCCAGCTCCGCGAGCGGTACCAGTCGGACTTTCCCCTCCTGCGTCTGCACTCTGACAGGGGTGGTGAGTTTTCCTCCGACCTCTTGGCAGCCTACTGTGCGGAGCACGGCATCCGCCAGACGCTCACACTTCCGGCCTCTCCACAGCTGAGCGCCACATTGGCTTAGTCATGGAGGTCGCTCGTACCTCCATGATCCATGCGGCTACCCCCCATTTCCTGTGGTCGTTTCCAGTCCAGTACGCTGCGCATCAGCTCAACCTCTGGCCCCGTGTCTCTGCTCCGGAGACCTCGCCCACACTGCGTTGGACGGGGGAGGTTGGCGATGCGTCGGTGTTCCGGGTCTGGGGATGTCGAGCCTTTGCTCGCGATACGTCCGCGGACAAGCTCTCCTCCCGTGCCGTTCCCTGTGTCTTCCTTGGCTTTGTCCCTGACGTGCCTGGCTGGCAGTTTTACCACCCCACCTCGCGCCGTGTCTTCCCCTCTCAGAACGTCACTTTTGACGAGTGCACACATGGAGTTGTGGATGGCGTTGCGATGTGATGATGTGTGCAGCCATGTCAGCCCACGTGATTCATGTGACTCACGGGTCCATTGCATCACCTCACTACCGAACAGCTCTCTGACCATCCACAGTATATACCCTCTTCCTTACCCACTTTCCCACTCATGTGTATCCACCAGACGATTCTGCTTCTCCCACTCATGTGACATATCCTCTTTTTTCCTCAACTTTGTTGCTCCTATCAAGCAGAAATTGAGCATGTCATACAGACAGCTCAAAAACTCTCTCTCTCTCTCAAATGTGCAAGACTTCGGAGCAATTAGGCCAAAGCCTTGCCAAATGTGCCATAATTGATGGAACGGCTGCAATTATGCCACGGGATGTTTCAGATTTGCAAGTCAATAATTAGAGGCCGTATACTGTATGTGTCTCAAACCATCTACATTTGTGAAACTAAGTGATGACAATATGGTTGATGAGTATCCGGTTAAAACAAACTTTCGGGTATCTTAGTGCCAAAGTGAAGGCTTTGTTATTCAGGTCTTGGGGGTTTATGGGCAAATGACAATCGCCAGTCTGTGGGAATTTCCCCCCGTTTTGTCCCTTGAATTATCTCTCGCGGCATATCGCAAAGTTCGGAGGAGGTTCGGGGGTGTAAACCAAACCTGAAATCTGGCTGGGTTATCGTTCGTGGTGTCAGATGATATGCGAGGCGACGACCACGGGCCATCAATCATACGTGAGAGGAGAGGGATCCGCAAGACAATGTGCAACACATTTGTAGCTTGTACAAGGTCCCTCCAAACTACCCGCTGTGTCAACCATGCGTGGTCAATCGATGCAATTATCCGCGTCAATCACGGTCTCACCAAAACAGGGTCAATGAGATTGTCCACCAGATTCAGTCCTCGCTGGTGTCACCAAAACAGGGTCGTCGTCACACCCGCAAACCGCCAAGTTCAGCATTCCCTCTCCTCTCATGCCATTGCGCTCCGCCACCCCAAAAGATGACTTCACTGCGTCAACTCCGCAAATGGCGGCGGCGGCACGGATTTTTTCCCGCCACTCTGTCAGTCGTCGCACTCGTAGGAGCCATGTGGATTTTCCTCTTCGCGACTCGATCTGCTTCTGTAAGGCTCACCCATAGTAGCGACTCGCGAGCATTCGAGGGCCTCTGGTACTTATCACCCCAGTGGCCATCATGATCTTAGATAGGCATCACACGTTCCAAACGCGGATTCTCATGCGCCCTCCCTTTTCCTCCCTCTTTCCCTCCGCTCCCCCCGGCGACATTCCGTACCGCATTGTACCGAACCGTCCGACTATGTCCCCCCCAGGGCGAGTACCGACCGCCGTCGTTAAACTGGGACTTCTCCCGCACCTCTTCCGCCGATTCCGCCCTCTGCGGCTCCTGGCCCGCCGACTACGCCGCGCGCCACAGCGCCATCCGCCAGGCCAGCGCAGTCGCGCACGCAGCGCACGTGGAGGTCATCAAGCGGAGCAGGAGGAGCGGAGTTTTCGCGTGGTTCAGCCCCGCACCCCCCCCGCGCCCGTACGACCCCGCCGTTCGCTTCCTAACGTTCGAATGGCTGGACGGGTGCGGCGGGTACGGCGACGCGCTCAACGGGCTGATGCTCGCGTTCGTGACGGCTGTGCTCGACGGTCGCGCGCTCATCGTCAACCACGACTGCTTGCCGGCCGCGTTCCTGCCGGCTATGATCGACTGGCGGCTGTCGGACGACGTGCCGTTAGAGCCCGCGACCGTCGTCACGCCGCCCGGCTACAACTGGGACGGCGTTGTGACCGACGCGCGCCCCGACGCGCCGGCGAAGGCGGGGGAGGTGGTGCGACTGGACATGCGGAACTCGCGCGTGGAGCTAGAGACGTTCTTCAAGGCGCTCGAGAACGCCACCAACATCCGGCTGGCGGCGAACCTGGGCGCGCTGACGCACCTGGCGACCAAGGCCAAGGGCGAGTGGGCGGAGCGGTTCAAAGGCCTGGGCATCCGCCTGCCGTACGCCATGGGGTGCTTCTTCCGGTTCCTCCTGCGGTGAGCCGTGCGAGCAGGCGTAGATTGTGGGCAGATGGGGGATTGTGGGCAGATGGGGGAATGTGGGCAGATGGGGGAATGTGGGCAGATGGGGGAATGTGGGCAGATGGGGGAATGTGGGCAGATGAGGGAATGTGGGCAGATGGGGGAATGTGGGCAGATGGGGGAATGTGGGCAGATGAGGGAATGTGGGCAGATGGGGGAATGTGGGCAGATGAGGGAATGTGGGCAGATGAGGGAATGTGGGCAGATGAGGGAATGTGGGCGGGTGGGTGGGGTGTGGATGGCGGATGGCGGCCCATGTGGTTGAAATGTGGCAGTGTACTGCATGCAGCTCTTGGCTCTTGGCTCTCCCCTCAACCAAACTTCTCCCATACCACCCGCCACGTGCGTGCCACCCTACCCCACCGGGCACGGCACATGGGTGCAGGCCGCGTGACGAGGTGAGGGAGCTGTTCCACAGCACCATGCAGAAGCTCCGAGGCAACAGCACCGCCACCGCTATGGAGCAGCAGCGTGTGGCGACGGTGGGCATTCACATCCGCGTGCAGGACGAGGTGGTGTGGGCGGGCGACCGAGGCAAGCCCAAGGACCTGGAGCAGAAACAGATTGACGCGCTGCTGGGGGACGCCAAGCAGTGGCTCGACTGCGCTCAGGTGTGGGGGCGAGGAGGGTGAGAGTGGTAGGGGTGGATGGGTTAGGAGTGGATGCGTGAGGGGTGGATGGGTGCATGTGTGTATGGGTGTAATAGACATGACTGGATGTGGAGGGGTGCGATGGTGCCAGTGGTTGAGGGTTGCTGTGGAAACGTGTGCACACATGGAGTTGTGGATGGCGTTGCGATGTGTTGATGTGTGCAGCCATGTCAGCCCACGTGGTTCATGTGACTCACGGGTCCATTGCATCACCTCACTACCGAACAGCTCTCTGACCATCCACAGTATATACCCTCTTCCTTACCCACTTTCCCACTCATGTGTATCCACCAGACGATTCTGCTTCTCCCACTCATGTGACAAATCCTCTTTTTTCCTCAACTTTGTTGCTCCTATCAAGCAGTGGTCATTCCAGCCTCCCCTAAACTCCCCCCACATCGTCCTTTCCAACCTTCCCATCAAGTTCCTCGCCCTGCTTCCCCGTGGCACCAGCGCGTGGAGGAGTTCTGGTTCCCGTCGTCCCTTGCGGTGCGATGGATGCTCATCACCAACTCAGCGCAGCTCAAGGCTGCCATTAAATCCAAATACCCCGACAAGGTGTGCATGCGTGGATGGGTGGGTGGGTCAGTAACTGTGTGGGTGGGTGAGGCGCTGACTGACTGCTACGCGGCCTCAGTCCACGCTGCACTGCTGGTGCAGCACAGCGGGGATGATGCTTTTTTTTTTCTTGTTCTTTTGTTTTTTTAGGGCAGGATGCTGCAGCATCAGCAGCAGCAGCCGAACCTGCTGCCGTCGCTTAAGTTGGCCTTTAGCTGTTTTGAAGTAGCTTCTAGACCTTATGACAGAGGTAGAAACCCACAGTAGGCTCATATCGTCATGCAGGCACCCGACATTGATCACCAACCCAGCAGTTGCAACTCACACATGTAGACGCACGAAGGGGCTTTCTGTGATCCAGCCGTTAGTCGCCTCCCATCTCCCAGTTGCGCATTTCAAAGGCTTCTAGGGCCCCTGTTGCCAAATCAGTAAGAGACAAGTGACTGAAAGGTTCTTAGGAGAAACACTTCCAGAACTGTTTGGGATTACTGACAAGCATCTGCTCTCTTCCTCATGGCTGGGCGCTCGCATGGTTTACTTTGCACTGCCTGATTACGAGTCAGGATGGATCGCCCTAGAGAATGGGTAAGAGGGGTGAGTAAATAAGGGTCCTGTATGTAGCCATGCTATTTGAAACAAAGTGCGTCCTGATCCCTACATGGTTGCCCTGTTTGCGTGCAGGTCGTCACCACCGAGTTTGTCCCACGGCATTCCAACAGCCTCGCATCAGTGAACAAAAAGGATGGGTTCGGCATAGAGGGCAGCAAGCAGGACGAAGCAAGGATGTTCCAGGAGGTAGTGACAGAGTGGTTGCTCCTAGCGGCCTCTGATGCGTATGTGATTTCTAGATCCGGGTACTCGCACACGGCAGTGTTTTACTCCATGCGGACACTTGCTACCTTTGAGTATGACAGGTGTGACCCGGAGCAACCAACCGAGGTAACGTACATGGGGGAAGATTGGAGTGGAATTTGATGAGTGTAGGTCTCCTAATTTGAAAAGTCGGTTTGATAGCGACACACCTTCCACACTTGGGCTGACTGCCACCTTGTCTGCTGTGGTGTCTAATGTATTGGCGCCACATATGACCCAGGGGGGTTTCCACAAGCCCACCCCATGGGGTTGGGAAGGGAGGAGGGGGTGGGGGAAGGGGGGGAGGGGGGGGGGGGAAGGGGGGGGAGGGGGGGGGGAGGGGTGGGGGGGGGGGGGGGGGGATTGGTGGGGGTTTATTGACTTATTTTTTGTCCTGTGACCTAAGTATATTTATATCGTGTCTTCCCGGATAGAAACTCACTCTTTTGATTGGCGCATACGCTTTGGCCCGTTTATAAGCGCAGGCATATCTGGGTGTGTTCACTATGAACGCTTATGAAGTTCTATTGGGTTCATTATCGAATGTACTGTAACGAATTATTCTTCGTTCACGCCATCTGGGAAGGTTGAGGTACAGGGTCAACAGAGTCAAACAGTAGGTGGTTTCCCGCCAAATCACTCTAGCCTGGCTGCAGGTGCTGCAGGTTCCCTGCCAAGTAGCGTGAGAATATATGTATGCAACTCACTACCATGTCGACTCGACTGAAGTCACAGTGACGTGACCTACAAATTGGTGTTTATAAAAAAGGTGTATATATAATTGAATTGCAGCAAATAGCTCTACACAAGCTGACCCTTGTTCTTTGCATGATAAATTAAATAAATCTTTGAGCGCGACTTGCTTCCATTCTAGTTGTTCTTAGTAGTCCTTCTGGCCTCGTTTGTCACTATCTTTATCGGAATGTAGTCTTGCTTTCAGACCACGTTCCGTTGTTCATTCCGGCTACTCCTAACCTTGCCACTCTAGCTTTGTTCGTTTCTCACTCCGGCCGTTCCTAGTGTCAAAACATTATATTCTTTCTATCTTTCTAAGCTATGTAGGGGTTATCCTTAGAGGGTACACTACATTTTTCGACAATCTTGTACCCCCCCCCCCCCCCCCCCCCCCCCCCCCACTTACCTAATCGATCATCCTTCTTACCGTTAGGCCCCAGATATAAGCGCATATGCGCTTATAATAAATTTTTTTTTTTTTAGGGGTGGCGCTTGTAATTGAGGAACGGCCATAAGCGCCGGCGCTTACCGTAATCCCCCGTATATAAGACCCTAGGGTATTCTGATAATCACCCCTAAAATGGCTGGGGGGTCTAATTATATGGTATACTTTTTAGAAGACCCGGGTCCAGGGCCTACGATATCAGGAATTTTTCCCTGAAATTCCTGATTTCCAGGGTTTTTTTTTTAGCTAGCCTGATTTTCCAGTGTTCAGCTTTTAGTGGGGCTGATTTTTCAGCCTTCACCTAGCACATGACTCTGAAATTTCAGCAATTTTTTCCAAGTGACACTGATGCCACTGTCAGAATGTTATAGCTTACTTATTTGTGTAGGCTATAGTGGGGTATCCCATAGGGGGTACAACCCAACTAGGGTTTCCTATTTGTACTCACTTCATTCATAGTCATTTCATTCTCGTTCTAACTTTCTCATGGTATCGAGCAGGTTCCCCCGTGGGAACTTTGCTTAGGGCCCACCACATCGAACCTTTTTTTCTGCCTGGAGCGCGCTCCGGGTCCTTGCTCTTACTTTTTTTTTTCGATCTGCCCTAACGGCCCGAGCGCCGCCTTAGCGAGCCGCCCGCCCTAGCAGCCCGAGCGCCGCCTTAGCGCCCGCGCCCCGCTGCCCGCCCTCGCGCCGCCTTAGCGGCCTCGCCGCCCTGCTCTCGCGGCCCTCGCCGCCCTTCCTCACGCGGCTCCGCCGCCCCTGATCTCGCGGCCCCGTCGCCCCTGATCTCGCGGCCCCGCTGACCCTGAAAGCGCGGCCCTCGCCGCCCCTGATCTCGCGGCCCCGCCGCCCAAGCGCTCGCGGCCCCGCCGTCCCTGATCTCACGGCCCCGCCGCCTCAGCGCTCAAGGCCCCGCCGCCCCTGATCTCGCGGCCCCGCCGCCCCAGCGCTTCCGGCCCCGCTGCCCCTGATACGCGGCCCCGTCGCCCCAGCGCTCCCGGCCCCGCCGCCGCTGATACGCGGCCCCGCCGCCCCAGCGCTTCCGGCCCCGCCGCCCCTGATACGCGGCCCCGCCGCCCCTGATACGCGGCCCCGCCGCCCCAGCGCTCACGGCCCCGCCGCCCCTGATCTCACGGCCCCGCCGTCACTGATCCCGCGGCCCCGCCACCCCAGCGCTCACGGCCCCGCCGCCCCTGATCTCGCGGCCCCGCCGCCCCAAGCGCTCCCGGCCCCGCCGCCCCTGCTACGCGGCCCCGCCGCCCCTGGTCTCGCGGCCCCGCTGCCCCAGCACTCACGGCCCCGCCGCCCCTTGCTCTCGCGCCGCCCGACTGCAGCAGCCGAGCCGCCCAACTGCAGCAGCTGAGCCGCCCACCTGCAGCAGCCGAGCCGCCGTACCGCCGAGCAGCAGTGCAGCCGAGCCGCCCTGCACCCGAGCCGCCCGGCAGCCGAGCCGCCCCGCCCGAGCCGCCCTACCGCCGAGCCGCCTGGGAGCCGAGCCGCCCGGGAGCCGAGTCGCTGAGTAGCCGAGCCGCCTTTCTACCGACCCGCCCGACCTGCCCTGCCCGGTGAGCACTGTACCGCTCTCACTGCGTGCCCTTCCCCTACTGCTTGCACTGCTTCACTCTCGTCGTCATGGCTACCCCTAGTGTCCTCGCTTTTGACGCTGAGGGTCGAGCCATAGACTTTGAGGTCTGGCTCGACGACCTGCAGCTGTTTTTACAGTGCGATAGGGCGGACGGTCTGTCTCTCTTTGACCTCACCTCTGGCGACGTCCCTTCCCCTGCTGCTGATGCTGACGCCACTGTTCGCTCACAGTGGGCCACGCGCGATGCTGCTGCACGTCTTGATGTGCGTCGCCACTTGCCTACCGCTGAGCGCGCGCACTTTAGCCAGTACAAGAGTGCCCAGACCTTGTACGACGCTGTAGTTGCGCGCTACTCCTCCCCTGCCACTGCTGCACTAAGCCGCCTCATGCTCCCCTTCCTCTTCCCTGACCTTGCCGCCTTTCCCACTGTCGCTGATCTCATCACGCACCTCCGCACTAGTGACACTCGCTACCGCGCTGCGCTTCCTGCTGACTTCTGCGCCAAGAACCCCCCCCCCCATGTACATCACTCTCTACTTCTTAGTCACTCGCCTCCCTGACTCCCTTCGTGTAGTCCGGGACCACTTCCTCGCAGTCTGTCCCACCACCCTCACAGTCGACAGCCTAGAGAAGGCCCTCCTTGCAGCAGAGAAGAGCATAGTCGCTGTAGGAGCCTCTCGAGGTGACCCCCGCGCCCCCATCTTTGAGGGGTGTTCTCCTTCCCCTCTCCTGCCCTCTGTCGCCTCTGCCGCTGCGGCCGACCTCGTTGGTCTTGAGTCGGTCGGTGCGGCGTCTGCCCCTAGCGGGAGACGCCGCTCTGGCAAGGGCAAGGGGGGCAAGGGAGCGGGTGGGGCCAGTGGGGGCGGTGGCGGTGGAGGTGGAGGCGGCGGAGGGAGTGGGGGTGGCGGTGGAGGTGGTAGCGGGGGTGGGGGTGCTAGTGGCAGCAGTGGAGGCGGGAGTGGCGGCGGCGGTGGCGGTGGTAGCGGAGGTGGCGGAGGTGGCGGCGGTGGAGGTGGAGGCGGGGGCGGTGGAGGCGGAGGCGGGGGTGGCGGAGGTGGAGGTGGTCGGAGTGGAGCTTCGCAGCGGAGCGGCACTGGTGGCGGTCAGCGCCAGCAGCAGCAGCAGCAGCAGCGTTCTCGCGACGTCCCCACCCCTCAGCAGCTCCGTGAGTGGTACACGCAGCGTCAGCGCGGTGGGGGTTTTGGTCCCTGCACCTACGTTCTCCGCACTGGCGACCGCACTGGAGAGCAGTGTGGGGGTGCCCACTCCGCCCAGCGCTCCTTTGGCCGCCTAACGGACGCTTGGCGTCACCAGTTCCCGGAGGCCGCGGAGATCCCCCGCTGGGGAGAGCTGTCTAGGGCTGGTGTAGCTATCTTTGATCTTGATTTTGATGCTATCCTTGCTGCCATGTATGCTGTGACCATTAGTGAGGAGGGTGACTGTTACCGGTGTTTCCCGCCCGACCCGGGCATTGGTACAGCTGCTCCAGGTGCCGGTGAGGCTTCTGCTCTAGGTGCCAGTGCGTCTGTGCTCTCAGGTGCTCGTGAGACTGCGCTCTCAGGTACTGCGTCGGCTTCGGCCTCCCTCACCTTCACTCTTGACTCTGGAGCGTCTCGCTCTTTCTTTCGGGACCGCACCACACTTACGCCGCTTCGTCGGCCGGTTGCGGTTTCCCTGGCTGACCCCTCTGGGGGTCCTGTCCTGTCTCGCTTCTCCACAGTCCTCCCGTGTCCGGCGGCTCCCTCTGGCACCCTGTCTGGTCTCTACCTCCCCTCGTTCTCTACGAACTTGGTGAGTGGTGCTGACCTACAGGATGCGGGAGTCCACCAGTTCACCCCTGCTAGTCAGCGAGTGACGCACTGCACGGAGGCTAGCACGGGTCGTCACCTGGCTACGTTTACACGTCAGCCAGGGTCGAGCCTGTACACACTGACCACTGCTTCTCCTCCAGGTGCTGAGTCTGGTAGAGTCCCTTCGTCTGGTCAGGTGTTTGCTGCAGCGTCCAGGTCTGGTCCTGAGTCTGCCCTCTGTTCGTGTCGCCGTCTGTCTCACGAGACCCTCCTCTGGCACCACCGCCTTGGCCACCCCTCTCTGCTTTGGCTCAGAGGCATGGCCTCCCGTCTTCTTGTGTCTGGTCTCCCCCGGTCTCTACCTCCCCTTCCTCAGGGCCCTGGCCCTGCCTGTGTCCCCTGTGTCGAGGGGCGCCAGCGTGCTGCCCCTCACTCCTCCCAGTTTCCTCCGACAGAGGCTCCGTTGCAGACGCTTCACATGGACGTGTGGGGCCCTGCCCGCGTCCGTGGACTCGGTCACGAGCGCTACTTCCTGTTGGTGGTTGACGACTACTCGCGTTACACCACAGTCTTCCCCTTGCGCAGCAAGGGTGATGTCACTGAGGTGCTGATCGACTGGATCCGCGCAGCTCGTCTCCTGCTCAGGCAGAGCTTTGGCTCGGACTTTCGTGTGTTGCGTCTGCACTCGGACAGAGGCGGAGAGTTCTCCTCTCGCCTTCTGCGTGCCTACTGTCGTGCGCGAGGCATCCGCCAGACCTTCACGCTTCCGGACTCCCCGCAGCAAAATGGGATTGCAGAGCGCCGCATTGGCATGGTCATGGACGTCGCTCGTACGTCCATGATGCATGCGGCTGCCCCCCATTTTCTGTGGCCGTTTGCGGTCAGGTACGCAGCGCATCAGATCAACCTCCACCCCAGGGTCTCCAGGCCGGAGACCTCCCCAGCGCTACTGTGGACGGGGAAGGTTGGCGATGCGTCGGCGTTCCGGGTCTGGGGATCTCGGGCGTTTGTCCGTGACTTGTCTGCGGACAAGCTGTCCCCTCGCGCTGCTCCCTGCGTCTTCCTGGGGTTCCCCCCCGACGCCCCTGGGTGGCAGTTCTACCACCCCACCTCTCGACGTGTTCTGTCCTCCCAGGACGTCACGTTCGACGAGTCGGTACCCTACTACCGCCTCTTCCCCTACCGCACTCCGTCCCTCCCCCCGCCCCCACTCTTCTTGGTACCAGGTCCCCCCCCGGTAGACCCCCTCCCCCCTCAGGGTCCTGCCCCTTCAGGTGTGTCCCAGGTAGACGCGGTCGAGCCTGTCGAGGTCACTGGTGACTCTGGTGCTGCTGCGGGAGCTGAGCCTGGGGGTGCTGAGACTGGAGGTGCTACGTCTGAGGGTACTGAGCCTGGGGGTGCGGAGTCTGGGGGTACGGAGTCTGGAGGTGCTGAGCCTGGGGGTGCTGAGCCTGGGGGTGCTGAGTCTGGGGGTGCTGAGCCTGGGGGTGCTGAGCCTGGGGGTGCTGAGCCTGGGGGTGCTGAGCCTGGGGGTGCTGAGCCTGGGGGTGCTGAGCCTGGGGGTGCTGAGACTGGGGGTGCTCCGCCTGGAGGTGCTTCGTCTCGCCGAGAGCCACTCTCCCCACAGGAGCTACGTGAGTGGTTTGCCAGGCGCTGGAGGCGTGCTGCTGGTATTGGAGGTTCTTCGACTGCAGAGGGTACTACTGCCGAGCGTCCCGGAGGTGCTCGTACTGTGGGTGCTGGAGCTGCTGGGTCTGAGGGTTCTCCTGGAGCTGGTGCTGCTGAGGGTGTTGGCGCTGAGACTGCCGTTGGAGGTCCGACTGGCGGTGCTCCTGGTGGTGCTGCTGGAGGTTCTGGTGCTACTAGAGGTGCTGCTGGAGCGGGTACTCCTGCTGGGGTTTGTGGTGCTGTCCCTGCTGTTTCTGACGTCGCCGCGCGGCCCCGGCCGTACTTCGTTCCGCTCCTGCAGCAGGTTCTTAGTCTTACACCTTCTCCTGGTCCTCCTCCTCCTCCCTTAGAGGGTCCACAGCCTGTCTCGTCCCAGTCACAGCTAGAGCCTGCCTCACCTTTGCCTGCTCCTTCTCCCTACGCTGGTCCGACTGGAGGTCTTACTGAACGTCGTGAGCCTGCGTCTCGTCCTGCGTCGCCTGTTCGTACTGCGCGCGCTAGTGGTCGCGGTTCGCGTCAGCGTCCTCCTCCTGTCCCTGGCACGCACCGGATGTCTCTGCGTCCGTCTACTGCTCCTCTGCGTGCCCCTTTGCCTTCTCCTCCTGCTTCCTCTCTTCCTGCTCTTGCCGACCCGGAGTCGGACTCTCTTCGTGCTGCCAGTCCTACTGTCACGCGTCTCCTTGCTACTGCTGTCACTGACCCTTCTTTCGAGTCTTCTGCTGCGTCTGCCCTTGTCACTGAGCTCGTCGACTTTGTTGCGCGCTGTCGTCTAGACTACGCTGCTAGTCTTGTCGCTGAGTCTGAGTCTGCCTGTCCTCCGTCCGTCGGGGGTGAGTGTGCCCTTGGCACGGACGTCCTTGAGGACAGGCAGGAGGAGTTCCAGTGTCTGGCCGCCGCTTCACCTCATCTCGCGTCTGTACTGCTAGCCCCTGAGGGAGACCCGGATGCACTAGACATCCCGACTCCGCGCTCTTACGCGGAGGCGATAGAGGGTCCCTACTCCTCTCAGTGGCAGGCAGCTAAGGATGCAGAGATGGCTTCCTGGAAGTCCACAGGCACCTACGTCGACGCTGTTCCCCCTCCTGGGGCGAACATCGTCAGTGGCATGTGGATTTTCAGGGTGAAGCGGCCGCCGGGTTCTCCGCCTGTCTTCAAGGCGCGTTACGTGGCTCGTGGCTTCAGTCAGCGGCAGGGGGTTGACTACTTTCAGACCTTCTCCCCCACCCCGAAGATGACCACTCTTCGGGTACTGCTGCACGTTGCTGCACACCGTGACTACGAGCTGCACTCTCTCGACTTCAGCACAGCTTTCTTGCAGGGCAGCCTGCACGAGGAGATCTGGCTGCGTCGCCCACGTGGCTTCACTGGGTCTTTCCCTCCTGGTACCCAGTGGAGCCTCCGGCGTCCAGTCTACGGTCTCCGCCAGGCGCCACGTGAGTGGCACGACACACTGAGGACTACGCTGGCGGCACTTGGGTTTGCTCCTTCTACTGCCGACCCGTCGCTGTTTCTGCGCACCGACACCTCTCTGCCGCCGTTCTACATCCTCGTGTACGTCGACGACTTGGTCTTTGCCACAGCTGACACTGCTGGGCTCGCCTACGTGAAGTCCGAGCTGCAGAAGAGACACACGTGCACTGACCTGGGTGAACTGCGCTGCTACCTTGGCTTGCAGATCACCCGAGACAGAGCACGCCGCACCATTACCCTGACTCAGTCACACATGGTGCAGCAGGTCCTTCAGCGCTTCGGCTTCACGTACTCCTCGCCTCAGGCCACTCCTCTGCCTACTCGCCACTCGCTCTCAGCTCTGCCTTCGGATGAGTCCGTAGAGTCGAGTGGCCCGTATGCAGAGCTTGTTGGCTGCCTCATGTACCTGATGACCTGCACACGACCTGACCTTGCATACCCTCTTAGCATTCTCGCACGCTATGTTGCTCCTGGGAGACACCGACCAGAGCACATGGCTGCAGCGAAGAGGGTGTTGCGCTACTTGTGCAGTACGTCGGGCATGGGGCTAGTGCTTGGAGGGCGCAGTCCAGTGGTCCTCACTGGGCACGCGGACGCTTCTTGGGCTGACGACAAGGCTACGCAGCAGTCGTCACAGGGTTACACCTTCAGCCTTGGTTCCGGCTCTGTTTCGTGGCGGGCTACCCGCTCGTCTTCTGTTCTCGGCTCCAGTTGTGAGGCTGAGATCTACGCCGGGGCTATGGCTGCACAGGAGTTACGCTGGCTCACCTACCTGTTGACCGACCTTGGAGAGCCGCCTCGTTCTCCTCCAGTCCTGTACGTAGACAACAAGGCCATGCTAACCTTGTGTCGAGAGCAGCGATTGGAGCACAGGACAAAGCACATTGCTCTCCGCTACTTTCTTGCTCGTGAGCTACAGCAGCGTGGACAGTTGCGACTTGCGTACGTGGCCTCTGAGGCCAACACTGCTGATGTCTTCACCAAGGCACTTGCGCCTTGTGATCATCAGCGTTGCTGCACGCAGTTGGGCCTTGTGCCTGTCTTGCCTCACTTGCTCACTTCTTGACCTTGCTTGTACCTCGACCTATATATACTCTTGCTCTTGCTTGCTTGACTCTTGTATATCTCTATATATAGTCTTGCATGTGAACTGGCCTTGTGGCCCTTGAACTTGTGCTCGGAATGTGTGGTGACTTTGTGATCCACCCTGAGCTTTGCTTTGTTTTTGCTTGACTGGTCTTGTGACCCCTTGTTCTCCCCCACTTTGCCTATGGGGGTGTGTCAGAATGTTATAGCTTACTTATTTGTGTAGGCTATAGTGGGGTATCCCATAGGGGGTACAACCCAACTAGGGTTTCCTATTTGTACTCACTTCATTCATAGTCATTTCATTCTCGTTCTAACTTTCTCAGCCACTACGTTGTAACGAATCCGACCCTGAAAGCGATTCCTACACGGGCCGAGTGTAGTTGCCCGGCTGTACTAGGAATATCAGATTCCCGCGGTGTCAGCAGGGCGTGGCGGTGAGTAGAAGACAAATTTGCCCTCGACCAGGGATGCATTGTTGGCGCGCGTGCTGCGATGATTGGCCACTTTGACAGCATTTCCCGATTTGGCCAATTGCGGGGTTGCAGAGCAACGAGAGATTCAGGCCCATGTGATGCACATGTGGACCTGTGGCCCTGTGGCCCGGATTGTCGAAGACGTACTGGCAAGAACGGATGCATCCACGCCGCCCTGCTGTGCTACCAGCCATCCAATCTCCCACCCCAGCCTGCTCCTGGCTTTCCTTCCATCTAGCAAGGGTACGGTTTCAACGTGTTGCTGCCTGGTGGTGTACCAAGAGGCAGTCAGCCGTGTTTTCTCTCTTCCTGGCAAACCTCCGTTAGGCTAGCTTGGTAGTGCCGTTAGATGTTGCTCGTTTGCGCTGCAGCCAATGGCGGACCACCCGGACGCCATTGAACGACCTGATGACCACGACGATGAACCCGCTCGTCGTTCGCCAATCGATCTGTCCGCGGCAGTTACCGGACTCGATCTGCTATTCTCCAGCTTAGCGGCAGTAGATAACCATGGAAAGGATCCTGCAGTCGCGCCGACCGTCAACATCCCGTTTGAACCAATCGACGAGCCGCTGTGTCCCTCCCCAACTGCGCCCGTGTTGGAGCAAGACAGCTGCAACCCTGCAGGTGAAGAATCTGCGGCGGTACCTGTGGCTAAGAAGTCCGCCAAGTACATGCAGTCAACGATTCCGTGGGGCAAGAAGGGAGGCACCGTTGGAGCAGCACCGGCTTCGCCAGCCGACCAACGGTCGACGCCCGCGACCGCAGGCACGCAGGCGTCGCCCTCAACACCTGGGCCTTCTAAACCTGGGCCTTCCAAACCAGCAGGGCCAGACGCAACTTACGCCGAGGCTCTGTACAAGTACAAGAGCGAGTGGCAAGAACGATTTCCTTGGGTCATACTGCTAAAAAAGGCTGACGGTTTCCCTGCTTTCAAGTGCAGGATCTGTACGGAGCATGCAGGCTACGCTGGACCGTGCGGGAGAGGCGGAAAGGGCGCCACAGACGTTCAGACGCAGGCGTTCAAACGGCATGCGGCAACTACGAAGCACAAGGAGGCGTTGAAACACCAGAAGAAGCTACTCGACGAAGCATCCACGCAGCCACGGATCAACAGCGACAATCTCGCTCGCGACACGGAGAAGGAGCGTGTCAGCAGGCTCCTCGACTCGCTGCTCTTCGTGACCAAGCAAGATGCACCCATAGAGTTATGGGTGAATCTCGTGCGCTACCTCGCGCGACTGAAGGTGCCTGGGTTCCCCGCTAAGGGCTACGGTACCTATTACACGACGTGAGTTACCGTTTTCTCGGGTTGCAACCGTGTATATGTAGATTAATAACCGGTCTAACATTGTGTTGTTTGACCTGCGCTGCAGATACGGCTTTGGGCAACTGACTCAGTCGATGGCTACGTGGTTGCACACAACGCAACTGCAGCACATCCTTAGCAGCCCATACCTAGGCATCACATGTGACGAAAGCACGGACAGGTGCTCTGGAAAGCACATGATTGTTTTCGCGTCTTTCATCCGTGACTGTCGTCCCGTGACTGAGTTTCTTGCCCTGCTGACCGTGGAGAAGGGCGATGCAGCCTCTCTCCTGTCAGTGCTCTTATCCCACCTGCAGGCCGTGGGCATTGAATTGGCGAGGATATCCGGCATAAGCACTGATGGTGCGAGTGTCATGATGGGGAAACACAACGGCCTGGTCGCACGACTTTGCTTGCGCATCCCGCACCTCGTCTCGAGCCACTGCATCGCCCACAGGTGGGTTCTTATGTTGTGTTTCCTGCACCCCTTAATGAATCCGCAGCCACCCGAGGTAATCACTAGTTGACCTGGTTTGCTTGTTGTTGTGCATGCAGGGAGGCGCTCGCCGCAAAGGCCGCCGCTGAAGAACTCCCCGAGTTCGGGATGGTGGACGCCCTGCTCCGCCAAGTGGCAGAGTACTTGGGGCGTTCGGGCCCGTGGCATCAACGGTTCATGGGCTTGCAGGAGGTCTTCACGAAAACGAACCTGGAGCTGCAGGGGATCCACGACGTCCGCTGGCTCTCCCGCGGTGACGCCATTCTGCGCGCGGTAGAGGTGTTCCCCGCGCTGATCGTGATGCTGTACGAGTGGGACAGCACCCTGTACAAGCTCGTCACGAGCTACAGGTTTCACTTCCTGCTATATTTCCTTGCAGACGTACTCGAGCAGCTCAATGTGCTGAACAAGGCATTCCAGCAGCGTGAGGTGAGCATGGTTTCGTACAAACCTTGAATATGTGCCCTGTTGCTGGTTTTGCTCCAATGTTTGGTGTTACTACCACAACTCTGAGTTGGTATGCTTTCCACACTTTTTCATCCATGTTGAACCCCCAACAGCTGGACATTGCTGGTGTTCACGGGCAGATCCGCCGGTCCATCTCCTTCCTTGAGTCCCGCTACGTCGACTGCGGTGACGACTTTGGAGGCGGTGTGAGCGCGCGACTCTCGCCATTCATCAAGAAGCACGGACCTGAGGGGGGCAAACCCGAGGTGAAGGTGCAGGGAGTTGACTCGGACGGGCGGCCCACTACACATACCTTCGAGCTGCACGAGGAACCGGACGACGACTACTTGACTCTCGGCTCCCACGACGCCTGCGTCGATCTCTGCACCACCTTCTCCGAGGCGCTCGTAAAAAACCTCACCACACGGTTCAAGGACCTGGACTCTCTGGTGGGAGTGCGGCTGTTCATGCCGGACGAGTGGGAGCTGGGGAGAGCGGAGCGCCACAGGCAGTGTCTCGAGTGGCTCGAGTCTCTCGTGAGGTTGTTCAGGGCACAGGACACGGACTACATCATTCCAGGTATTCCCGCTCTCGCTTTGTGCCTGACCGTATGTTACAACTGTGCGTTTTAGACGTATACCAGCCTGTCTAACTCCCCTCTTTTTCCCTTCTGCCTGATGTGGCAGGGGTCGACAAGCGGCGTGCGATCAAGGAGCTGCGTGCCTTCTGCCCCATCCTCGCTGGTGCCCCAAAGAACGAGCGCAGCTTCCTCGCCGGCCTCACAGCAGTGCTGAAGACAAGCGACTGGGCGGCAAGCTACCCCAATCTGGTGCGTCTCTGGGTGGCTGTCGCCGTGCTGCCGCTCAGCACTGTGGAGTGTGAGCGCGGCTTCTCACGCCAGAACGTGATCAAATCGTGGCAGCGGGGGAGCTTGAAGGACGCCCGCCTCGAAGACCTCATCACGATGTCCCTGCTGGAGTATGAGCCCAACTACAATGAGGTGGTGCAGATCTGGCGCAGCTACAAGAAGCGCCGCCCATTCGGCAATGTGGTGGCACCACCAGCAAGAGAGGGGGAGGGGAGCGGTAGCAAGGGAAAGGAGGTCCTAGAGGAGGAGGAGATGGACGAACTAGAAAGAGACGATGCAGACGAGCAAGCTTCTTTTGATGATGACTTTTGATTAGAATGCTCCCAGACTCCATGCTTAGCTTGCTTGCTAGCAAGATAGGATTTGGTTTGAATTGAAGGTTGTTTGCATGCTTCGTATTGTTTTTAACTTAAAATAAAGATTACTACTGCTATCACCCATTTTCTGTGGGGGACACTGATAGATCAGACTTTTTTATTAAGTAACACTGAACTTTCAGGCTTTTTTCCAAGACGACCCTGACGATCAGGGTCTAGGGGCAGAGGAACCCTGATACCCTTACGTGCCTCAAAGTGAATCTGAGGCCTTGCCTGGGTCTGTTCAAATTGACATTTATAAGAATGTTGTTTTGGAGCTCAAAGAAGTGATTTGGAGTTGCTCCGTTTATAGCTCCTCCCAAACAAACTCGACTTCGCCTCCACACGGGCCGAACCCACGTCATCACAAACCCTCTCTGGGGGCCTACTCCCATTGGCCACCAACACCAATTGATGGCCTCGGTCTTCACACCCCATGCACGCTTCGTGCGGGCTGCACAGTCTTGAAAGGGCGGGATCTTCCAGACACCCTTTCAGCATTCTGGCACGTCCCTGTTCATCTGATTGACTTCACTCCCCCCTCCTGTTTCTTTCCCCGTACTGTGCTCGGCTGGCTGCTGCATACCGGTAGAAGATGGCTGTCTGTTTCATTTCGCCTCGAAGCTAGCAGCCACGTTATCTCCACCTTAGCCGCCATGGTGACCTCACCAGATACTGGGACGTCCGGTGCTCGACGCAAGCGCCGCAAGAAGGCGCCGAACCCTCCTGTTCCTAGGCCGTCGCCAAGGTCCGTCTTGCCTACGCTAAGTGCCTCTAGCAGCGAGGCGACAGATAAGGAGCCCAGCGGGAGCCCACGCGGTCCGCTCCCGAAGGTGAAGGTTCCCGTGTTACCTGAATCAAAGCGACCGCGGGGACAGACGAAGCGGGTGCGCGACGTTGAGACGCCGGAGACAAGGCGCCGGCAAACGCAGAAGAAGCGGAAAGCTTACACCGTCAAGGAGAAGCTTTACTGGCTCAAGATGCTTGACGCGCAGCCACCTATGAGCGTCCGGGGTTTGGCCAGGCTCGCCGACGTCCAGCCGAAGCAGATCCGCGAGTGGCGCAGCATGAAGGAGCGGCTCGACAAAGCTGCAGGGTGTCGCCAACGTCTCACTGGTGCGGGACGAAAGCCCAAGTACCCCGATATGGAGGTTGCGGTCTACCGCAAGTTCCTGTTCCACCGTGGGAAAGGCCTGCCGATTTCGATAGGCCTGCTGCAGAGTTGGGCGGCGACCTATATGAAGCATCGCCACCCCCAGAAGAAGTGGTCTTCGTCCAGACGCTGGACAAAGAGGTTCCGCAGGCGGTGGTCCCTGGCGCGGCGCGTGAAGACAAAGATCGGGCAGAAGCTCGCTGCAGGTACGATGACCTCGCCCTACCCGATGTTTCCCGCAGTAAAGTCGTACCTATCCACCTGGCCTGACTCCCCCTTATCCCGTGCGATGCAGATTGCAAGGAGAAGTGCGAGTCCTTCTGGGAATTCGTGAGGCAGATGCGCGTGCTCAACTCCTACCCCCTCAACCTGATCGTGAACGCGGATCAGACACCCCTGTTCCTTGAGATGCCTGCCGAGCGCACCCTCGATATGAAAGGCGCTCGGACCGTGCACGTGCGCACCGCGGGGTACGAGAAGCAGCGTGTGACGGTCATGCTGGCGGTGACCGCGGACGGCTTGAAGCTCCCTCCGTATGTGGTCTTCAAGCGGAAGACCTTGCCGAAGATCCCCATACCCCGTGGTGAGTTGGGACTTACCGAATGCTCTGCTGGGATGTGCTGAAGGAAACCGCTAACGTTTCTTTGTTTCTTGTGCAGGAATTGTTGTGCGGGCCCAAGAAAAGGGCTGGATGGACGAGAGCCTTGTCCAAGATTGGACAACGAAGGTTCTCGTCCCCTTCCTGAAGCCGCACCGCGAAAAGGACGGGCAGCGCAAGGATGCGCTCCTCATCTTCGACTCCTACCGAGGGCACACCACGGAAGCAGTCGGCCAGACAATGAAGCTGTTCAAGCTCACGCGCGCGGTGATCCCTGGCGGTTGCACCTCGCTGGTGCAACCCCTGGACGTGTCGGTGAATCGCAGCTTCAAAGCCGGGGTTCGCCACCGCTACTCAACGTGGTTCCAGGATGAGGGGATTGATTCTTTCACCCCTGCAGGTGAGCATGAGCGTTGTCCCTGTTTCAATGTGTGCCTTGACCGACTGGTGACTCACGTCTGCCCCTACCCGCCCCATTTCCCGCAGGGAATTTGAAGAAACCTCCTCCAGAGAAGGTTCTCTGCTGGATTGCGGAGTCATGGGCTGATGTGCCTCTTGAACTGGTCAAGAAGTCCTTCGTGACCTGCGGCATCTCCACCGCCGTCGACGGGAGCGAGGATCATCTGATCCTCGCTCACCTCCGCGATAAGGGGGAGGTGGAGGTGCTGGAGGATGTGTGCGAGGAGGAGCTTGACGAGCTCGTCCCCAACCCTTTCTACCCTGATCCTGCCGCCCCTGCGAGCAAGAACAGCGCTGAAGCCTCCTCGACATCTGAGGAGGAGGAGGAGGAGGAGGGGGAAGAGGAGGAGGAGGAGGAGGAGGAGGAGGAGGAGGAGGAGGAGGAGGAGGAGGAGGAGGAGGAGGAGGAGGAGGAGGAGCAGGAGGAGGAGGAGGTGGTGGAGGACGAGGAGGACGAGGAAGAGGGGGACACGGATGAGGAGGAGGATGAGGAGGGCGAGGAGCAAGGCGGTGCGGAGGTGGAGGGTGAGCGGGATGGGAGGATGATGGCGATGAGTGGTGGGCGGAAGGGCGATATGATGGGGAGGAGGCCGAGACTTGGGTTGCGGGACAGGAGTAGGATGTTAATGTGGGTGTGCATGTGCGTTCATGGTTGCGACTTCTCTTTCAACATGGATAATGACCACTTTCAACTGTTTTTTTTTGTGAAATCCACACTTCTCTAGGATGTGGGGGGGTCTTATAATGTTAGGGGCCATTTAGGGGGTATAACTCAAAAGTGCTCGAATAGAGTACCCGGTGCCGTATTAAAGACCCGGGGGTCAACAACTGGGGGGGGTCTTATATACGGGGGATTACGGTATATAATGTCAAAATTGTTTTTTAGTTTTTAAGGCACGAAACTGAAGCCCTCAATAAGGCGAACACGACCATGCACTGTGCAGGTGGGCTCGTGCATGGAAACGCGCCGAAAACAGTCGCGACACGATTTCCCACCGCACAAAGGCCGTCCCAGTGCAACGCACCGGCCAGCGATGACGTGCATCCTGCCGTGCGGCCCAATCGGGTTTACATGCGCTGCCAGGGTGGCGCATTTCACCCGAACGTTCGAGAAGGGGGTGGAATCTGCCTGCCAACGCAGCAGATACGTGCCGCGATTCCCTCCTCTGCGGGTTTAGTCAGGGGGGAATCTTCCTATGCATGAAGAGGAATTGGAGGCGCACACGAGAAGGGGTCCCCTCCAAACCCTCATTTCTACTCCTTCTCTTTCACTTTCTTCATTCAGATTCTTGTTCTCACCCGCCATGCTGCGGAAGCCATGGCGAAATTCAGTGGCACTCATTTCTTGTTCAAGAAAAAGCCCCAGCGTAGGCCCGCCTTCGTAGTCGACGCCGACGAATGGTACTCCCGTGTCCCTGCTGAACCACTAGAGCCACCACAGCCTCCGTCGCCTCCATCGCCGCCTGCTCCTCCTGCTCCTCCTTTGCCGCCTGCGCCTCCTGCTCCTCCTGTTCCTCCGTCCCCTCCTACTCTGGAATCTCCTCTACACACACGGGAACCGCCCGTGCTCACGCTCCTGCACCCGACTGCGTTCGACGAGTGGCTGGAGGGACCACCAAGCGACACGGCCCCTGATGTTGAGGTACCCGGCGAACCTTACAGTGGACCACGCTGGGGTCGGTCGGAGGATTGCAGCACGTGGGACGAATCTGCAATCGGAGCTGACGATGACGTGCCTGAGGACGAGGAAGCGAGCCCTGCTGACGGCGACGAGCCTGCGGAAGCTGGCGCGCAGGGTGGAAGCGCAGAGGATGTTTTTCCAGAGGGTGTACCTGGTGGCGACGACGACGACGGTGTCAGATTTATATGACATAGTTGCTGTAGGCTATAGTGGGGTAGCACATATGGGGTACAGGGTTTCTAGGGTTGTATTTGTACCCAATCTTTCCTTAGTCATATTCATTCCTGTTTTCTTTACTTCACATGGTATAGAGCGGGTCCTACCTTAGGACCGTTTTTTTAGGGCCCACCGAAGCGCGCCCCGAGGCGCGCCTTTTTTTAGCGACCCCCTCGGGTCGCCTTTTCCCTCGCGGCCCCGCTGTCCCTCAGACGCGGCCCCGCCACCTCTCCTGATCGCGGCCCCGCCACCTGTTTGACGCGGCCCCGCCGCCTACCCTGACGCGGCTCCGCCGCCTCCCCTGACGCGGCCCCGCCGCCTCCCCTGACGCGGCTCCGCCGCCTCTCCTGACGCGGCCCCGCCGCCTGTCTGACGCGGCCCCGCCGCCTCCCCTGACGCGGCCCTGCCGCCTCCCCTGACGCGGCTCCCCCGCCTCCCCTGACGCGGCACCGCCGCCTCCCCTGACGCGGCTCCGCCGCCTCCCCTGACGCGGCCCTGCCGCCTCCCCTGACGCGGCTCCGCCGCCTCTCCTGCCGGCCCGCCACTGCACCTGCCGGCCCGCCGCTGCACCCAGCGGTCTGCCGCCTCTGACGGCCTCGCCGCTGCACCTGCCGGCCTCGCTGCTGCACCTGCCGGCCCGCCACTGCACCCTACGGCCCACCACTGCACCCTACGGCCCGCCGCCTGCACCTGCCGGCCCGCCGCTGCACCTGCCGGCCCGCCACTGCACCTGCCGGCCCGCCGCTGCACCTGCCGGCCCGCCACTGCACCGGTCAACCCGCCGCTGCACCTGACGGCCCCGCCCCTGCATCTCCTGGCCGAGCCGCCTCAGCAGCCGAACCGCCCGTGAGCCGAGCCGCCCGACGCCGAGCCGCCCGGGACCCGAGCCGCCCTGCCGCCGAGCCGCCCGGGAGCCGAGCCGCCCTGCACCCGAGCCGCCCAGCCGCCGAGCAGCCCGGGAGCCGAGCCGCCCTGCGCCCGAGCCGCCCAGCAGCCGAGCCGCCCAGCACCCAAGCCGCCTTTCTGCATACCTACACGACCTGCCCTGCCTGGTGAGCACAGTCCCACTGACACTGCGAGCTCTTTCCCTACTGCTTGCACTGCGTCGCTGTCGTCGCCATGGCTACCCCTAGTGTCCTAGCTTTTGACGCTGAGGGTCGCGCCATTGATTTTGAGGTCTGGTTAGACGACCTGCAGCTGTTCTTACAGTGCGACAGGGCTGACGACCTTTCTCTCTTTGATCTCACCTCTGGCGCCTCTCCTGCTCCTGCTGCTGATGCTGATCCCGCTGTCCGCTCTAAGTGGGCCACCCGCGATGCTGCTGCACGTCTTGCTGTGCGTCGCCACCTCCCTACCTCAGAGCGTGCGCACTTCAGTCAGTACAAGAGTGCTCAGACCTTGTACGACGCTGTAGTTGCGCGCTACTCCTCCCCTGCCACTGCTGCACTGAGCCGTCTCATGCTTCCCTACCTCTTTCCTGACCTCTCTGCCTTTCCCACTGTCGCTGACCTCATTACGCACCTCCGCACTAGTGACACTCGCTACCGCGCCGCCCTTCCTGCTGAGTTCTGCGCTAAGAACCCCCCCCCCATGTACATCGCTCTCTACTACGTAGTCGCGCGCCTCCCTGACTCCCTTCGAGTCGTCAGGGACCACTTTCTCGCAGTCTGTCCCACCACCCTCACCGTCGACCTCCTCGAGAAGGCCCTCCTCGCAGCGGAGAAGAGCATCGTCGCTGTAGGTGCTTCTCGTGGTGACCCTCGCACCCCCATCTTTGAGGGGTGCTCTCCTTCCCCCTTGCTGCCCTCTGTTGCCTCTGCTGCTGCTGCCGACCTGCTTGGTCTTGAGTCGGTCGGCGCGGCGTCTGCCCCTAGTGGGAGACGTCGCTCCAGCAAGGGCAAGGGGGGCAAGGGCGCGGGTGGAGCTGGAGGGGGCGGTGGCGGTGGCGGCGGTGGCGGCGGAGGGAGTGGGGGTGGCGGCGGGACTAGTGGCGGGGGTGGTGGTGGTGGTGGCAGCAGCGGCGGAGACGGTGGTGGTGGTGCCAGCGGTGGTGGTGGAGGCAGCGGCGGAGGTGGAGGCGGCGGAGGTGGAGGCGGCGGAGGTGGAGGCGGTGGAGGCGGCAGCGGAGGAGGCAGTGGTGGTGGAGGGGGTGGATCTGGTCGGGGTGGTACCCAGCAGCGTAGCGGCGGTGGTGGTGGCCAGCGCTCGCAGTGGCAGCAGCAGCAGCGCTCTCGGGACATCCCTTCGCCTCAGCAGCTTCGTGAGTGGTACGCTGGGCGTCAGAGGGGTGGGGGTACTGGTCCCTGCACCTACGTTCTTCGTTCCGGCGACCGCGCGGGTGAGCAGTGTGGGGGTGCCCACGCCACCCAGCGCTGCTTTGGCCGCCTGACGGACGCCTGGCGTCAGCAGTTCCCTGGGGCTAGTGAGATCCCTCGCTGGGATGAGCTTCTCAGGGCTGGTGTAGCGATCTTTGATCTTGATTTTGATGCTATCCTTACTGCTATGTATGTTGTGGATTATAGTGAGGAGAATGAGGGTTACCGCTGTTTCCAGCCCGACCCGGGCATTGGTACTGCTGCGCTAGGTGCTTGTGAGGCTGCTGCTCTAGGTGCCAGTGCGTCTGCGCTCTCAGGTACTGGTGAGACTGCGCTCTCAGGTACTGAGTCGTCCTCGTCCTCCCTCACTTTCACACTTGACTCCGGAGCTTCTCGCTCCTTCTTTCGAGACCGCACTACCCTTACGCCGCTCGGCCGGCCGGTTGCAGTCTCCCTTGCTGACCCCTCTGGGGGTCCTGTCCTGTCTCACTTCTCCACTGTCCTCCCGTGTCCGGCTGCCCCTTCGGGCACCCTGTCGGGTCTGTACCTTCCCTCGTTCTCTACGAACTTGGTGAGTGGAGCGGACCTGCAGGATGTGGGTGTTCACCAGTTCACTCCTGCGAGTCAGCGGGTGACCCACTGCACGGAGGCACGCACAGGCCGACACCTGGCCACGTTCTCGCGTCGGCCGGGGTCGAGTCTCTACACCCTGACCGTTGAGTCTCCTCCTGTCCCTGCGTCTGGTCAGGTGGCTGCGTCGGGTCAGGTACTTGCTGCTGCGTCCCGGTCAGGTCCTGAGTCTGCCCCCTGTTCTTGTCGCCTCCTGTCTCACGAGACTCTCCTGTGGCACCACCGTCTTGGCCACCCCTCCTTGCCCCGTCTTCGGAGCATGGCTTCCCGTGTCCTTGTCTCTGGTCTTCCCCAGTCTCTCCCTCCTCTCCCCTCCGGGCCAGGACCTTCCTGTGTCCCCTGTGTCGAGGGTCGCCTCCGGGCTACTCCTCACTCCTCCCACTTCCCCCCGACAGAGGCTCCCCTGCAGACGCTTCACATGGATGTGTGGGGCCCAGCCCCCGTCCGTGGGCAGGGTTACGAGCGCTACTTCCTGTTGGTGGTTGACGACTACTCGCGTTACACCACAGTCCTCCCCTTGCGCAGCAAGGGTGCGGTCACTGAGGTGCTGATCGACTGGATCCGCGAGGCTCGTCTCCAGCTCAGGAAGAGCTTCGGCTCGGACTTTCCTGTTCTGCGTCTGCACTCTGACAGAGGCGGAGAGTTCTCTTCTCGCCTTCTGCGAGACTACTGTCGTGCACGGGGGATCCGCCAGACCTTCACGCTTCCAGACTCACCACAGCAAAATGGGATTGCTGAGCGCCGCATTGGCATGGTCATGGATGTCGCTCGTACGTCCATGATGCATGCGGCTGCCCCCCATTTTCTGTGGCCGTTTGCGGTGAGGTACGCGGCGCATCAGCTCAACCTTCACCCCCGGGTCTCTCGGCCTGCGATGTCCCCAGCCTTGCTGTGGACGGGGAAGGTTGGCGATGCGTCTGTGTTCCGTGTCTGGGGATCTCGGGCGTTTGTCCGCGACTTGTCTGCGGACAAGCTGTCCCCTCGTGCTGCTCCCTGTGTCTTCCTTGGCTTCCCCACTGACGCCCCGGGGTGGCAGTTTTACCACCCCTCCTCTCGTCGTGTTCTGTCCTCCCAGGACGTCACGTTCGACGAGTCAGTCCCCTTCTACCGTCTCTTCCCCTACCGCACTCCTTCCCTCCCCCCTCCCCCGGACTTCCTTGTGCCGGTTCCCCCCCCGGTAGACCCCCTCCCCCCTCAGGTTCCTGCCCCCTCAGGTGTGTCCCAGGTAGACGCCGTTGACCCGGTCGAGGTTACTGGTGACTCTGGTGCTGCTGCGGGTGCTGAGCCTGGGGGTGCTGACTCTGGGGGTGCTGTGCGCGGGGGTGCTGAGCCTGGGGGTGCTACTGCTGGGGGTGCTGGGCCTGAGAGTGCTACTGCGGAGAGTGCGGAGCCTGGGGGTGCTGAGCCGGGGGGTGCTGTGCCTGGAGGTGCTGGGTCTGGGGGTGCTGCGTCTGGAGCTGCTGAGCCTGGGGTTTCTCCTGCTGCTGCATCTCGCCGGGAGCCCCTCTCTCCACAGGAGCTGCGCGAGTGGTTCGCTCGCCGCTGGAGGCGTGCTGCTGCGTCTGGAGGTGCTGCTGGAGCTGGAGCTGGAGCTTCTTCGACTGTCGAGGGTGCAGGTGCTGCCGGTCCCGGAGCTGCTGGACCTGCGGGTCCTCCTGGAGCTGGAGCTGCTGAGGGCGTTGGTGCTGAGCCTACTGCTGTTGGTCCTGCCGCTGGAGGTGTGGGTGGCGCTCGTGCTGTCGTTGAGGGTGGTGGTGCTGTCCCTGCTGAGTCTCGAGCTGCCGCGCGGCCTCGGCCGTACTTCGTTCCACTCCTGCAGCAGGTTCTTGGTCTTTCTCCTCCAGTAGAGGGTCCACCGCCTGTCCAATCGCAGTCCCTGCTGGAGCTTTCATCTCCACTGCCTGCTCCCTCTCCTTACACTGGTCCTACTGGAGGTCTTGCTGAGCGTCGTGAGCCTGCGTCTCGTCCCGCGTCGCCTGTTCGTGCTGCTCGCGCTAGTGGTCGCAGTTCGCGTCAGCGTCCTCCTCCTGTCCCTGGCACGCACCGGATGTCTTTGCGTCCGTCCACTGCTCCTCTGCGTGCCCCTTTGCCTTCTCCTCCTGAGTCCTCTCTTCCTGTGCTTGCCGACCCTGAGTCGGACTCTCTTCGTGCTGCCAGTCCTACTGTCACGCGTCTCCTTGCTACTGTCGTCACTGACCCCTCGTTTGAGTCCACTGCTGCGTCTGCCCTTGTCGCTGAGCTCGTCGACTTTGCTGCTCGCTGTCGTCTCGACTACGCTGCTAGTCTTGTTGCTGAGTCTGCGTCTGTCTGTCCTCCGTCCGTCGGGGGTGAGTGTGCTCTTGGCACGGACGTCCTAGAGGACAGGCAGGAGGAGTTACAGTGTCTAGCGGCTGCTTCACCTCATCTCGCGTCTGTACTGCTTGCCCCTGAGGGAGACCCGGATGCACTAGACATCCCGACTCCGCGTTCTTACGCGGAGGCCGTAGAGGGTCCCTACTCCTCTCAGTGGCAGGCAGCTATGGATGCAGAGATGGCTTCCTGGAAGTCCACAGGCACCTACGTTGACGCGGTTCCCCCTCCTAGGGCGAACATCGTCAGTGGCATGTGGATCTTCAGGGTGAAGCGGCCGCCGGGCTCTCCACCTGTCTTCAAGGCACGGTACGTTGCTCGTGGCTTCAGTCAGCGACAGGGAGTTGACTACTTTCAGACCTTCTCTCCCACCCCGAAGATGACTACTCTTCGGGTTCTGCTGCACATAGCCGCTCAGCGCGACTACGAGCTTCACTCTCTCGACTTCAGCACTGCGTTCTTGCAGGGTAGCCTGCACGAGGAGATCTGGCTTCGCCGTCCACCTGGCTTCACTGGGACTTTCCCTCCGGGCACCCAGTGGAGCCTCCGATGGCCAGTCTACGGTCTCCGCCAGGCACCGCGTGAGTGGCACGACACACTGAGGACTACGCTTGCGGCTCTTGGGTTTGCTCCTTCTACTGCTGACCCGTCGCTGTTTCTTCGCACCGACACTTCCCTGCCGCCGTTCTACATCCTCGTGTACGTCGACGACTTGGTCTTTGCCACAGCGGACACTGCTGGACTCGCCTACGTGAAGTCCGAGCTGCAGAAGAGACACACGTGCACAGACCTGGGTGAACTGCGCAGCTACCTTGGCTTGCAGATCACTCGGGACAGAGCACGCCGCACCATTACCTTGACTCAGTCACACATGGTGCAGCAGGTCCTTCAGCGCTTCGGCTTCACGTACTCCTCGCCTCAGGCCACTCCTCTGCCTACTCGCCACTCACTCTCAGCTCTGCCTTCGGATGAGTCCGTAGAGTCGAGTGGTCCGTATGCAGAGCTTGTTGGCTGCCTCATGTACCTGATGACCTGCACACGACCTGATCTTGCATACCCTCTGAGCATTCTTGCACGCTATGTTGCTCCTGGGAGACACAGACCGGAGCACATGGCTGCAGCGAAGAGGGTATTGCGCTACCTGTGCAGTACGTCGGGCATGGGGCTAGTGCTTGGAGGGCGGAGTCCAGTGGTCCTTACCGGCCACGCGGACGCTTCTTGGGCTGACGACCAGGCTACGCAGCGGTCGTCACAGGGTTACACCTTCAGCCTTGGTTCCGGCTCTGTCTCGTGGCGGTCTACTCGCTCGTCTTCGGTTCTCGGCTCCAGTTGTGAGGCTGAGATCTACGCCGGGGCCATGGCTGCACAGGAGCTTCGCTGGCTCACCTACCTGCTGACTGACCTTGGAGAGCCGCCTCGTTCTCCTCCAGTGCTGTACGTAGACAACAAGGCTATGCTGGCCTTGTGTCGAGAGCAGCGCTTGGAGCACAGAACGAAGCACATTGCTCTCCGCTACTTCCTTGCTCGTGAGCTGCAGCAGCGTGGTCAGTTGCGACTTGCGTACGTGGCCTCTGAGGCCAACACTGCTGATGTGTTCACCAAGGCACTCGCGCCTTGTGACCATCAGCGCTTTTGCACCCAGCTGGGCCTTGTGCCTGTCTTGCCTCACTTGCTCTCCTCTTGACTTCACTTGTACTGTGACATATATATATGCCTGCTCTTGTTTGTCTAGTTTTATATATATGTCTGTACTCCTGCATGTGAACTGGCCTCTGGCCCTACTCTTGTGCTCGGACTGTGTGGTGACTTTGTGATCCACCCTGAGCTTGCTTTGCTTTGCTTGACTGGTCTTGTGACCCCTTGTTCTCCCCCACTTTGCCTATGGGGGTGTGTCAGATTTATATGACATAGTTGCTGTAGGCTATAGTGGGGTAGCACATATGGGGTACAGGGTTTCTAGGGTTGTATTTGTACCCAATCTTTCCTTAGTCATATTCATTCCTGTTTTCTTTACTTCACATCTTATATACGGGGGATTACGGTATATAATGTCAAAATTGTTTTTTAGTTTTTAAGGCACGAAACTGAAGCCCTCAATAAGGCGAACACGACCATGCACTGTGCAGGTGGGCTCGTGCATGGAAACGCGCCGAAAACAGTCGCGACACGATTTCCCACCGCACAAAGGCCGTCCCAGTGCAACGCACCGGCCAGCGATGACGTGCATCCTGCCGTGCGGCCCAATCGGGTTTACATGCGCTGCCAGGGTGGCGCATTTCACCCGAACGTTCGAGAAGGGGGTGGAATCTGCCTGCCAACGCAGCAGATACGTGCCGCGATTCCCTCCTCTGCGGGTTTAGTCAGGGGGGAATCTTCCTATGCATGAAGAGGAACTGGAGGCGCACACGAGAAGGGGTCCCCTCCAAACCCTCATTTCTACTCCTTCTCTTTCACTTTCTTCATTCAGATTCTTGTTCTCACCCGCCATGCTGCGGAAGCCATGGCGAAATTCAGTGGCACTCATTTCTTGTTCAAGAAAAAGCCCCAGCGTAGGCCCGCCTTCGTAGTCGACGCCGACGGATGGTACTCCCGTGTCCCTGCTGAACCACTAGAGCCACCACAGCCTCCGTCGCCTCCATCGCCGCCTGCTCCTCCTGCTCCTCCTTTGCCGCCTGCGCCTCCTGCTCCTCCTGTTCCTCCGTCCCCTCCTACTCTGGAATCTCCTCTACACACACGGGAACCGCCCGTGCTCACGCTCCTGCACCCGACTGCGTTCGACGAGTGGCTGGAGGGACCACCAAGCGACACGGCCCCTGATGTTGAGGTACCCGGCGAACCTTACAGTGGACCACGCTGGGGTCGGTCGGAGGATTGCAGCACGTGGGACGAATCTGCAATCGGAGCTGACGACGACGTGCCTGAGGACGAGGAAGCGAGCCCTGCTGACGGCGACGAGCCTGCGGAAGCTGGCGCGCAGGGTGGAAGCGCAGAGGATGTTTTTCCAGAGGGTGTACCTGGTGGCGACGACGACGACGGTGTCGAATACTGGTCACGTGACGGGCTCCCCGAGGAACTTCCGATACCTTCCTTACCACCAGTTAACCGCAAGCGACCCCACCCGTCTACCCAGAACCGTGATGCCCGCCCCCCCTCTCCCAGGCACAAGATCAGCGAGCGCAAGCGCAACGGCTACACCGCTGCAGAGAAGTTGAAGTACGTCGCGATGCTGGATGCGGCGAAGTCGGTGCGCGCACTGGCTCGGGCAAGTGGGATTCACCGGAAGTGTCTCGCTAACTGGAAGGCGGCTGCAGCTTTTCTCAAAGAAGCACACACCGGACGCATGCGCATGCACGGTCGCGGGCGGGCCTCGTGGTACCGCCCCATGGAGATCAAGGTGTACGAGCGGCTTCTGGACTGGCGCCGCAGAGGAACCGCCGTGTCGGTCGGCCGTCTGCGGGAGTGGTCGAGAGAGTTCATGAAGATTCTCAACCCGGACGTTAAGTGGAGCGGGAGTCAGAGATGGTCGGAGCGCTTCCGGAAGCGGTGGAATCTGAGCGTACGCATGAAGACTCGCGTTGCTCAGAAGACAGCCGACCGTAAGATTACGCCGTTTGTTTTTACTGTTGCGTCTAAGTGTTTCCCTCCCTTACTAACCTGCCCTCTATACCGCCCGCCGTTGTCCCCCGTCTAACAGATGTTGCGCAGCAGTGCCAGAACTTCTGGCGTTTTGTCCGGGACATGCGTCGCGCGCGCGGCATCGAGACAACCTGGATCATAAACGCGGACCAGACGCCACTTTGGCTCGAGATGCCTGCCACCAGGACCGTGGATCAGACTGGCGTACGGTCGGTGCTTATCAGGAGTGCAGGTTACCAGAAGG